GATCAAAATCTTGATTTGAAGAGGTGAAGAGAAAAATAAAAGGAAAAAAAAAAAGAAATTTAAAGGGGAGAGAGATTACGAGACAGAGAGAAAACTAATGGCCTAAATGGCCTTATGGCCATTTAAAAGGAAAAAGGATGGCGGGTCCCACCACCAAAGAAATATCTTCCTTTTTTATAAATTTTTTTTTAATATATATATATATATATATATATATATAAACATTTATATACCGTCACTTTACCACCACTTATTAATCATATAACCAATTAAATATGCACAATAAAACAATGCACGATATGCAATGAACCCGTGACACAACTCCCGTGCACGACGACTTTGATAGCGGGTTCCACTTGGGACCTTTCGGTCCGAAAAACAGAAAAATACCGAAATGGCAACTGATGCATTTCCAAAAGTCCTGAACTCAAGGAAATATCCGAATCAACATTCTGACACACCCGACACATCTTACGATATCAGACACGCAAAATGAGAAAACATAAAAATACCCTTAAAAAAATCAAGAAAATTCCAGAAAATGAAAATGACAAAAATCGAAAACATTACATTCTACCCTCCTTAAAAGGATTTCTTCGTCGAAATCTCCCTCCTTAAAGCAAGAGGCCCGCAGCTACACACCTTCCCAATAAACACCTCACAAAACTGCAAGACTAAGTGCTCATCAACCCTATTGCCTCTGATGCTAGACATCAATAGGCAATCGCACACCACTGCCACTAAAACATAATGCTCACCACCCTATGAGGGTACTAATCACTCACAACATCATAACACAAACCAACTGGATTTTACACCCGGCTTAAAACAGACATCGGTCCACTCTACACTACCACGAAAGACTCCAAAGTCTAAAAGAAGAACGATCACAATACCTCGGAACATAACAACATCTAAACTCCACTCATCTTCTAATTGACACACAAAACCCCAAACTAGAAACCCCGTCCATCTCACAATCAACCTCAAACTCAAATCTACACATCCCTGTCAGACCAAGCACTCGCTATCTAACGCACAGCTACACCTATCACATATTCGCACCATTCGGCAATCATGATACATAACAACCTCAAGATGACTAAACAACAGATCTCCCAACAACTACATAATCATGAATCACCTGAACAATAAGACGCATCATCCTATACCCGGGACACAAATCCTCAAAACAAGAACTTTAACGATCAAATAATCAGACCACAACCCTTATCGGACACTTGGTCCTACCCAACACACCTCGTCACCCGAGACAAACTTCCCTAATCCACACTGTCACACCGACACCACGCGCAATACCCTACTTTCACTGTGCCTGACAAAATGAAACAATCATTGACCTTTGACCCGACATCATGCAAAAGAGGGACTAATTGAGGAGAAATGGTTGGACAGGCCACTCTCCTCATCGATCCGGTCTCAACACAGACGTCGTTCCTGTCCTTAGGTCCAAACCTCAAACAAAATTTCACACAATCCACAAAACAACCAAGAGATTCGTTCACTATTAATCCATTGCGCTACGTAATCCTTAACAACTATACAATCACATACCTGCTCTAAAAATTCCAATCATGTCTTAATCTTACAACTCGTAACGAGCCAAAAGTAACACGACATCAAATACTATATTCCCAGTCTGCTCCTTACAACCTATACTAGAGATTAACTCCATGATACCATTCCATCCAATTCTTGTCTCATTAAAATACTTCATAAGGCTATCTCATGCTTGAAATCTCGAAACCAAATTCAATTACTACTCAAAGGAATCATACATTCACATTTCAAACGCCTATAAAAACATCCGAGTGCATGACTCACATCACATCACATCACCTAATTATCCTCAAACTTACAGTTTAGAACACGTCCCCTAGCCATCACCGCTAGTACCAGACACTGGAAACACACAATCCTATTCGGCAACTCGTGCCTCACACACCACTAGTTAAGACCACTCTCAAAACAAGCGCAACAAAAACCAGAGACTCCACCTCCCTCCGCGGGAGTGAGTTGACCCATTCAACCAAACCTTTACTGGTGAACTTTAAAAGTATAACAAACCACGCACGAGTCAGCTCATCCGTGAACGCGCACAACTCCAAGATGGAGGACAAGATATTCGACAAACAATGTTCTTGTCAGGACCAGAGCAAATGGAAGGGTAATGAACCCCGCACTCACCAAAGACTTACAACTCGTACCCGGATGCACCCGACACCCTATCACACGCTACTCACTAATCGTCCAACCGTGGACACCCAACCTCACCTAAAATGAACTAAACTCCTTACACATAAGGAGAAGAACCAACTGGATACCCGTACAGAACTACGAACTCGAATCTAGGCGATCTTGTCACTAACGAACCGTCATACGTTATCAATGCCAAAACCTCGCATACGGTACACCGCAATACCCATGCTAGCCAAAACTAATTAGATCCATACTACCCATTCATCGAGTACTATGGTATATCCCACAATACGACCATCAGACAAGAATATCAATGGTTACGGCATATTAACACTAGAAACAATCACAACCCATCAAACACTGCGTCCTGTTCTATCAAGAACCAGTCACTCCCAAATGAAAACCTTTATGATGTACAATGACAGATGACCATCCATTCCATCTCTACCTTTCCAGGCGACACTGCCTCAAACGTCGTGTACACAAGACTCGTGACCTCAATCACAGGAACCCACTACTCGTCAAAAGAAAAAAGGTGTTTATCTGGCAACATCATCCTTACGGGCTCTAAAGACTAAGCATTGCCTCAACTAACGCACAATTCTATCACCTACCTGACAACACACAACAAACAACTCATACTCGCTAATCCACCATTGGATCATACCTTAAACCGTTCCGCTCATCAGCACTAAACATCACACCATAATACCTTTAATACCATTCTTCCCGAATGACAACTCGAACCTCTCAACACACCAGATCATCAAGCCACTAGTAAGCGATTCTCCCTCAAACATCCTTAAGATAATGCTATCATAACAAGAGAATAAACATTATTTTCGATACACCCCATGACGACCACTATTTACCACTAGAAAAGAACCTTTATACGGCAATGCCATACCGACAAATCCCCAAGGAAAAATGAGCACAAAAACCAGAATGATTAACACCCAATTGTTTCCTCAAAACCATCAACAATGCAATCAATCAATAACGCCTAACCAGCTACTCAAACCACTCTTTCTAAGGTAACCTATGTGCCTAAACAAGAAAACTTCACACTCTAGGTTCAACATCATTACCTCTCCTCTTCACCATTCCTCATAACACCCTTGACCCAGACAAAAGTCAAATGGGGCTACCAGCTAAACCTACGAGGTCACTCTCATCCCAAACATTCTAATCATTAGTCTATCTCTTCAAATCCTCAAACAACTATCACTTCAGTGACCCCATACTACCTGCCTTATCATGTAACCCTGCACTACACAACTAAAACTAACCACAACACACCATCTTGAGACTCTCTCAACGAACCGTGACAACCTATAACCCCGCTTATCCACCGAGCTATACAATCAACTCACTGAGAGTCAATTACCTGCAACATGCTCCTGTAGCTGTACGAAATGAGGTTCACTCCTCAACGAACCAGTCCCTAAGACATTCTTACAACCCACGAACTGAATCATATCAAACAATTGATCACCAGGCACTAGCATAACTCCAGTCAATGCTTACACCACCCTAGACTCACAGAGCCCAACAAGTCCCTTTAATAATCATAACCAAAACGCTTCCTTGGACCGTACCAGAATACTCGAAATACACATCTACAACCCACAGACTACACTCGTGACTCGAGCAACCTCTATCACACCCACCACAAACTGGTTCGAAAAGAACCTCAGTACCAAACCGTGAACCTAAGTTACAAACACTGACCCCTAAAAGTCATACATACCTCACGAAAACCTCACATCACACAATTGACCTTTCCGGTCACAAAACCTATACACTAACACCTGAAACTTGTACGTCTCACCCCAAACATTGCACTGTCCCATACATAATCGTTCGAAAGTTGTGCCCCAAGCACTATGCCCCAAAAATAACAAGAAAAATGAAGCAACCATGCACTGAATAGCTCGATCCACGAGCTAAAGACCTACGCCATTAGTTCAATAAGAATTGGCATCCAAACAACCCCTTGAGTAACCGAGCTCCTCGCCTACTCACGTCAAAACTTGCACAACCATCAATGTCACAACAAGTACTCTGCCGTATATACACACATAAACACACACACACACATATAATAACCGTACCCCAAACCATGATACAATCATATCCCTTCATTTAATAATTTAAACACCCCGTCTTTCCTTTAAAAAAAAATACTTGCATAAACCATGCCTAAATAACCGTTACAATACCATACGAAATATGCTTGCACATACCGTGCTCACTATTTGCCACATTATCATTTAAAATAAAACTGCACACACCGTGCCTACCACTTGTCGTTATCACCTAAATCACACTTGTCATCATATCATAATTAATATGTTTCAATTATTTATACATTTCATCGCCATGGCCATATAACAAGCATTTTAGCAATTAAACACGTAAGCATGTGAACACTTAACAAATAAACATGCCTTTTTAAAACCATAAACACATAAGCAATTAAGCAAGTAAACATGCTTCTCAAATAATAAACACTTTAACACATAAGCATATAAATAATGCAATCTACCTTCCACACAACCTAGGTAGGCCTCTACCCATCGTCCTATTGGTTTTTGAATCATTGCTCTGATACCAAATTTGTAACGACCCGACCCGGGGTCCGAATCGCTAACCGGGTCCTTACCCGAATCCAAGGTCGTCTAAAGGCATTCAAGTCCTATCCAATGTCAATACAATTTATATATACGCTATCCCAAGGTTTATAGTGCATCATACTACTAACATTACATAAGACTTACAAATACAGACGGATAAGGCTGCGTCAGCCGCCACTTCTTTTCCGAATCCTGAAAAATGATAATAGTAATAATGGGGTGAGCCAACCGCTCAGTAGGAAGTGTCTAAGACACGTCTCTTAATGACCCTTTGAATCCATACAAGGGATAGAATATAAGTAAACGGGATCATGCCATAGGGGATATCACAGCAATAACAACTATGACAAGTATGTATACAGGTCATCCAACTACAAACTACACAATGTATGGTAATGAAATGCAATGTCATGCCAATGTAGCTCCCCGTTTTCCGAAACAATTCCTTTTTACCGTACCAAACTGTTAATGCAACCCGACCCATATCACCTCTATAACGCCACGAGAGAAGGATTAGTTAGCTATCCCCGACCACGTGGCACCTCCATGGCGTCGTTCTAGGCCTAAGTAACTCAACCACACTAGGGTCTCCCTAGTTCCCTCTAGATCACATTAACACCACGGACCACTAGGCACCTCCTAAATGTCCGATTTTCGCAAACACTTTTCAAAACAATTTTCCCAAAATTTATTTCATTTGCTTTTAAAACAGCATTTCCCTTACATTCCCAATGAAATGCATGAATGCTTCATGCCATCCTCAACCATGACAATAAATACAATTTTTCCATAAATTGCAATTAACCACAACAATATATATAGCATACTTTCAAGAAAGTTCATAAAGGATCATCTCATGTATTGACAAAATAGATTCTCAGCATTTATGCACATACAAGGCAAACACAAATTTTACCTTAACATGCTTCATCTTATTAATCCAATTAACATATATTTTTAACCAACTAATCACATAAAACACATTGATACACAAAGCCCTCAATACCATAAGCAAAATAATTAATTTAAGCATGCTTAGAAACAATTTAAAAGAATAAAATTCACTAAAATTAAAGATAATGTGGATTAGAACACCCCTACCTCAAATTGAAAAAAAAGCCCAAAAAAAAAAAGGCCCAAAATTCGAAATCCCAAATGGTGACCAAATTGAACTTTGCTCCGATCAAAACATCGCCCTCGACGAGCTCTCTGACTTTTCCTTAAGCGGCAACATCAAATTCCCAAAGGCTTGATCAAAATATTGATTTGAAGAGGTGAAGAGAAAAAGAAAAGAAAAAAAAAAAAAACAAAAGAAATTTGAGGGAGAGAGATATTACGAGACAGAGAGAAAACTGATGGCCTAAATAGCCTTAAAAGGAAAAAGGATGGTGGGTCCCACCACCAAAGAAATATCTTCCTTTTTATAAATTTTTTTTAATATATATATATATATATATATAAAAACATTTATACACCATCACTTTACCACCACTTATTAATCTTATAACCAATTAACTATGTAGTAAAACAATGCACGAAATGTAATGAACCCGTGATACAACTCCCGTGCACAACGACTCTAATAGCCGGTCCCACCTGGGACTTTCCAGTCTGAAAAACAGAAAAATGCCGAAATGGTAACTGATGCATTTCCAAGAATCCTAAACTCAAGGAAATGTCCCAATCAACATTCTGACATACTCGGCACAACCCACAGTATCCGACACGTAAAATGAGAAAACACGAAAATACCCTAAAAAAATCAAAAAAATTCCAGAAAATGAAAAAAGACAAAAAATCGGAAACATTATAGTTTTGACAAATCCATCCCTGCCCCGTGCTCGGGACGGGTTGAATTTTCAGAGTCTATCCCCGCCCCGTTGGGAGATGGATCTACCCGTGCCCACCCCACTCCATTAGCAATTTTTATTATTTATTTTTTATTTTTTTATTTTTTTGAGATCATCCCAGCAGAGTAAAACATAACCCTCAACAACTACACAGCCGGTACCATAAACAACACCACCAGTCATCGGATAGATAACTGAGGTATGGAAACAAAATTATTAAAATTTTAGTGAAAATTGAAACACAATTAACTAAACACACTGAAGGTATTCATAAAAGGAACAAAATTAGACAAGGGATTAAATGAAAAAGTAATTGAGAGACAATTCTTCTGAAAACCCTAGCAACAGTACAGAATAGCTTGGAATTCTTTTATTGCAATGTAAAAAGTTCAATAAAATTCGAAATAGAAGGAAAAGAAGGTGTTGAACGAGTCACAAAACCCTCAGACTTTGCTTCTATTCTTCTCTTCGTCCCCTTTTTGTAGATAATTCCTTTGAATCATGGCAGAAAGATGCTCATACAACCAGGGGTTTCATTGAGAAGCAATTATTGTCGGTAAGAAGTTAAGAATGAAGACGTGGGGCTTCTTTAGGGTTTGGAACACATGGTCTTTGGTGAGATGTGCCGTTATATATATATATATATATATATATATATATATATATTATAAAAGTTATATATAAGGCGGGCGGATTTTTATCAAACCTCGTACCCGCCCCGTAAGCCGTGACAAGTTTCAATATTGAATCCTACCTGCCCCAACAGTATATAAATGGTTACCATACCCATGCGGGACGGGGCGGGGCACCGGCAGGGCGGTACAAATTGCCATCCCTAAGGAAGAACAATAACATGCTAATGTCTGAGGTAGCTCACATCAGGAAGCTATACAGTGAGATTACTTACCGATACAATACCAAGCCTTCCGCATCCCGCTACAGTATTTATAAACATGAACATAAACGCATAGACGTCGTTTTGGCATTTAAAAAACTGGCCTTGGTGTACAGTAATTGTTTTTAAGTGTATTTATATAATTGATAAACAAAAAATAAATAAATAAATAACAAACATGTTTTTCTTCAAAATCTGTTTATATAAACAATAAATTGTAACATAAATGGTTACCAAACGGTATATATCACATTATAAATATAACATTATTTTAACTAATAACACAAGTATACGTCATTCTATTAGTTTAATTTTTATTGACTGAGATAATTTCGAGAAATTAATTTACAACTTATTTCATTCTAGCTTTTAAAATAGTTTGAAGACAAGAATAGGACTGACAATTTAATACATCACTCAGATTGTAACCAAAAAGTGAAATGAAAATGACCATTTATTCTTGCTCCATTCTCATTACATGCTCTATGGTTTTCCTATCCCACTTCACTATATTTCTACTAAACGTAGGCTATATTCTACAGGCAATAATAATTCTTTTTTTCTTTTCTCAAAACTATAGTTCACGACATAAGCCTATAGTTGGGGTTTCTCCTAAAGCAGTATAATAAGAATCCAAAAATTGGTTGTTTCGCGCAAAAATAAAAATAAAAATTGCATAAGCCCTAGGATAGTAGAATGGTAGATTTTCCACAACTTGGCTATCAAGAGAACAGATGATATGGCCAATAATTTTATCGTTATTGTAAGAAAAATTAAACTAGTGAATGCGGCAGCGTAATCGGGTTACCTCAAGATTATCTCTACCCAAAACGAAAATGAACTGGATGCTTCACATGCCTTCATAGCCTCCCTTTGATCTCGCAGTGGAATTAAACTACGAATATGAGTGTAATCCTTAAATTCACAATCCAAAAGCTTCTTCTTTGTCTTCAAACAATTAACAGAAAAAGAGAAGGATTTCTTTGCTAGGGTTTTTCTGTCGTATCTTCTCTATCTCATAACTGAACAATATAATATATTAATATTGTATTGATTTTTAAACTCTAAGAAGAGATATCAGATATCAAAAAGCTACCAGATATAACCTTGATTTTCCTAACCAGGTCAGGCTGAACCATGGGATCCTCAGATTTTAGTCCAAACCCAAAATCCAACAACTCCTACTCGCACATAGTGTACACGACGTTACAATATCTCTTTCTCAAATATGCCTAATTGTTGAGACAAGTGATACAAGCTAATGGAATTTGTGATTGATGAGAACATCAATATGTGGGAGCTCTAAACAAGCAACTCATATAGAGACAATACTAAGACATCAACCCTCAAAGATAATATATAGTGTCTCGTTATACTTCAGATCCATCTAGTTACATTGGTTTAAGCATCTGTAATCTCTCAAAGATCCATCAAGTCACATTTTAAGCATCTCTAATCCCTCAAAGAATTATGCTTAACGGTTCAAAATCTAACAATAAACCGACACTTACATTGCAACTCACTTGAGGTAACATAAATGGTCTTTATTGAATATACGGCAGAGATGTGGCTTAGATGATCTTCCTTTCGCCTCATGCCACTTAGCTAACTAACCATTTTTCTAGCAATGTCCCTTAAGGTCGAATCATAGATGACCGTAGGCAACCTACCAAAGTTAATCATCCCTCCACATATGGTTGTGAAGCACATATGGTTGGAAATACATGCTACAATGGAGTAACTCTTCCAAAGAATGTCTAGGCGCTTGAATAGCGCCTAACTCAAATTCTTTATTTTGCTCGTTATCTAATGTGCTTTGATCTCACATCTAGCTATTAATGCTGGTACAATGGATAGTGGGCATATCTATCATTATGTAATTATGTACTTTGAGACTTTTTCGGTTTTCCACCATTTGCTTTAAGATCACTTACTAGTATATGTACATATCATACATATATGTATATTGAGCATACACACACGCTATCACAGATTAAATATAAATATATGAAGTACATAAAGCCACAAACAGATTTTATATATATGTGTGTGTCTGTGTGTATGAGATGTGCACAAAAAATAGTTTTGAGTGCTCAGAGATTGTGAAATACCAACGATTCTCTTAACATCCATTCCTGCTGTAGCGGGCCAGAATTCGATGATATTCCTTTACAAATGTGCAAGTGACTGTACCTATTGCCAAAACACGCACTAGCGACTGCCAAATTCAAGTGCAGATATGAACAATTGTACCAGATGCGCTGAATGTTGTCCTTGCTTCAACATCAACCATGTTGCTTGGGCTCCAGGATGCCTGTCCAGAGATCAAAAAAACGAAGAAAAATTAGGAATAAGCATCATTAAAGGCCACGTTTCTTCCAATCAGAGACGAAAGGCACCAAATCAGTTGGATTTCAGTTTTATTACGGGAAAGATTAGCAATACAATTTTCAAAACAAAAACATCTCTAACATAAAGAAAGAAACAAAGGCACTTCTCTACATGGTAAGATTTCACTTTTCAGAGACATAATGTCATCTACTTGTACTGCAAAGTGAATTAAAATGTCGTCTCTAATGCCAATTTTTCTCTACAATTGCTGAATTTCGGAAGACGTGCAAGGAAAGAAACATAAAAACGCTCACCTACGAAGACGAAGTTCTACCGACGACTTCCATTTTTCCAGCTGGATCAACACCGATCGAGAGAGGAGTTGGCTTATTATTAAGAGGAAATGACACAAGGAAATTGCTAGGAATTGGCGAACCAGTCAGTCCAATTGACAAATGTGGACATCAGAAAAACAGAAGAAAAAGGTATGTTCAAAACATTTTAAACACGCAAAAGTGACCAATTTGGTCGGCCGATTCAATCGGTGAATGGGGGATAAAATATACTCTGTACGTATAGATACGGCAAATTTTGATTAATTTTGTGTGAGTCAAAAATTTCTCGACATCACATATTTACATAAATGTGTACGAGTTCTCTTATTTTAAAATTTTTAATTATTATTTAAGACATAAATACTAAGTTATTTATATATTTTTAAAAGGTACTGTAATAAAATTAAAATTAAATATTCCTCTAAAACAATATTGTGTTTCTCAACTAGATCAGATAAGTATTCTCCACCCCACACGTAAAGGTTGGGTTTTTGTTTTCTGAAAGGTACGTAAAGGTTGGGTAATTTGCAAGTTATAGCAATATTTTCCGCGATTGGGAAGGCCCAACGACCAATCCTATACAGAACACATCATCATGTTCCTTGTAGGCGGCTGCTCTAAGATCCATTCATATTTTTTAAATATTTACCTTTTATCAAAAGAAAAAAATATTTTTTAAAATAAAGTGCTGCCACCTATTTTCAAAGGGCATAGGATAAAAAAGAAAGGGCTATTCGCCGTGATTCTCCTCTTGTCATAATCTTTCTATTTTATAAAAGAAATCGATTTTAAAAATAATATATATATTTCTATTTGCTTTGACAAAAATTCACAGATCAAAGAAACTTGAACATTTAATTATTTATTTTTGAAAAAAAAAGTATTAATTAATTTGAATCTCTGATGAAAATTAAAATGACATATTTAAGTTTCAAATTTCTGCATTTTTCTTTACTTGATTTGAAGATAGTCTATTAAAATCTGATTAGGAATTTATAAGTTACTTGGCTTTTAAAAAAAAATAAAATAAAATAAAATTTAACTGTGGAGGCGAGACCTGTTGGTGGCAATGGTAAAAAAAAAAAAAAATGAAAAAAAAATTGCAGGCACGCTGCCCCTAAAGTCTGGAACTGTCCAGGTAAACTCACAAGGACTTAAATGACCAACAAGCTGCTGTCTCTTCAGTGCTAAATATATATATATATATACATTCTTTAAAGTTGAATAAAAAAAAAAAAAAAAAAGTTGACTTTCCAACTAACTGTGTCGGACGGAAACATAAGTAGAATTATTATTATTATTGGTGGGTTTGGGCGTGATATTGGTATTTTGAATTATAAGGCAATTACCGGAGACAGATCGAATTTTGAATCAGCGGTTGTAATGGGTAGTTTGAGTGATAGCATTGTTGTGTCTCCTATTCTGGATGCCTTGTTAGGCAAATTGGATTCACTTTTTGATAGTGCTGGTAACCCGTCTTTGCGCGCTGCACATGCGAGACAGCTGCGGCTCACTGAGCTTCGGCGGGTAATTGAAGAAACCTTAGGCCAAGTTCTAGTAATGGAGGAAACTAAGACGGGATATGCAACCCGTTCGTTGCTAGAAGATGTTCAAACAGTGGCTTACGTTGCAGATGATATGCTGGATCGTGTTTCCAAGAACGAGGTAAGCATGATGATGATCGTCAGCATCAAAAGTAGCTACTCCTCGAAATGCTCAGATCCACTCGATTATGTGCTGTATCGGATTCTCCAAGATTCTCCACATCTCGAAAAAATCTCCAAGATTCGTCGTTTGTTTCTGGAATTCAATAAGACAAAGGTCCGGGGGAAGCTGGTGGGGAATTATGATAAATATATGATTAGCTCCAGCCAGATCATCAGGAAGCACTTCCATCGCCGTTCATCTCCTAATGTTCCGGCGGTTGATGAACTCTTGCAATCAAAGAAGGTTTTCGGAAGGGATGAAGACAAGAAGAAGATGTTGGATTTGTTGATCCAAGACAATAACCATATGCAGCTTTCCGTCATTCCCATCTTGGGTGAGGATGGAATTGGAAAGACCACTCTGGCTCGCATGCTTTACGATGATGAGAAAGTATTGGAGCATTTCGATCTCAGGGTTTGGGTGTCCTTCGATGCTCAAGATTTTGATAAAGTGAAGATTGCAAAAGGGATCATAGAATCGGTGACGGGGTTTCCTCTCCAGCCAGAAGAGATGGGTGAGCTATATGATCTTGTCACAGCTGCCTTAGAGTCAAAAAGATCCTTAATTGTGCTAGATGACATCCAAATTAGAGATAACAAGGATATTGCGGGTTGCCTTGGATTACTGGAAAGTCTTTCCGCTGCATCTGCTTTGGGATCCAAAGTTATAGTAACAACTCCAGCCCTCCATGTTGAAGATGATCATATAGCAGCCAATGTTGAGCACTACAAACTGAAAGAATTATCCGACTACAATAGTCGGTCTATGTTCAACTATCTAGCATCTGATTCCTTAAATGCTAGAAGCAATCCAGAAAATATGTCCAAAGTTATAGAAACAATTGTAGCAAGCTGCAGAGGCCTCCCTCTTCTGCTGGATCTTATAGGACGGCTTCTGAGATTAGAGAAAGAGAAAAGGGTTTTGGCTTCTTTTGAAAAATTCCTTGATGAAGCTGATACAGTGAGTTTTGAAATCCGTAATCCTCTTGTGCTGAGCTATGCTCACCTACCGTCGCATTTGAAGAAATGTTTTGTGTATTGTTCGATTTTCACCAAGGGCCATGCACTGAGCAAAGAGAAGCTGATTCACATGTGGATTGCTGAAGGTCTCGTTCAATCATTTGATGGAAAGAGGACGTTGGAGGATATTGGCAACGATTATTTTCGGGAACTTGTGAGCAGGTCATTCTTCACCGAATTAAGCAGCAACGATTCTGGTGACATAAGAGAGTGCAGTATGCATGGCTTAATCCACGATTTTGCACAAGTTGTTGCGGGTTCAATAATTTTATCGTTATTGTAAGAAAAATTAAACTAGTGAATGCGGCAGCGTAATCAGGTTACCTCAAGATTATCTCTACCCAAAACGAAAATGAACTGGATGCTTCACATGCCTTCATAGCCTCCCTTTGATCTCGCAGTGGAATTAAACTACGAATATGAGTGTAATCCTTAAATTCACAATCCAAAAGCTTCTTCTTTGTCTTCAAACAATGAACAGAAAAAGAGAAGGATTTCTTTGCTAGGGTTTTTCTGTCGTATCTTCTCTATCTCATAACTGAACAACATAATATATTAATATTGTATTGATTTTTAAACTCTAAGAAGAGATATCAGATATCAAAAAGCTACCAGATATAACCTTGATTTTCCTAACCAGGTCGGGCTGACCCATGGGCTCCTCAGATTTTAGTCCAAACCCAAAATCCAACAACTCCTACTCGCACATAGTGTACACGACGCTACAATATCTCTTTCTCAAATATGCCTAATTTTTTAGACAAGTGATACAAGCTAATGGAATTTGTGATTGATGAGAACATCAATATGTGGGAGCTCTAAACAAGCAACTCATATAGAGACAATACTAAGACATCAACCCTCAAAGATAATATATAGTGTCTCGTTATACTTCAGATCCATCTAGTTACATTGTTTAAGCATCTGTAATCTCTCAAAGATCCATCAAGTCACATTTTAAGCATCTCTAATCCCTCAAAGAATTATGCTTAACAGTTCAAAATCTAACAATAAACCGACACTTACATTGCAACTCACTTGAGGCAACATAAATGGTCTATATTGAATATAAGGCAGAGACGTGGCTTAGATGATCTTCCTTTCGCCCTCATGCCACTTAGCTAACTAACCAATTTTCTAGCAATGTCCGTTAAGGTCGAATCATAGATGACCGTAGGCAACCTACCAAAGTTAATCATCCCTCCACGTATGGTTGTGAAGCACATATGGTTTGAAATACATGCTACAATGGAGTAACTCTTCCAAAGAACGTCTAGCTGCTTGAATAGCGCCTAACTCAAATTCTTTATTTTGCTCGCCTTCTAATGCGCCAAAATAAGATCTCGCACCTAGCTATTAATGCCGGTACAATGGATAGTGGGCATATCTATCATTATGTAGTTATATACTTTGAGAATTTTTCGGTTTTCCACCATTTGCTTTAAGATCACTTACTAGTATATGTACATATTATACATACATGTATATTGAGCATACACACATGCTATCACGGATTGAATATAAATATATGAAGTACATAAAGCCACAAACAGATTATATGTGTGTGTGTGTCTGTATGAGATGTGCACAAAAAAGAGTTTTGAGTGCTCAGAGATTGTGAAATACCAAAGATTAAATTTGTCTCGAGTCCTTTCCCAAGATCCTGCGGTAGAGGGCCAGAATTAGATTATATTCCTTTACAAATGTGCAAGTGACTGTACCTATTGCCAAAACACGCACAAGCTACTGCCAAATTCAAGTGCAGATATGAACAATTGTACCAGATGCGCCTAATGTTGTCCTTGCTTCAACATCAACCATGTTGCTTGGGCTCCAGGATGCCTGTCCAGAGATCAAAAAAACGAAGAACAATTAGGAATAAGCATCATTAAAGACCACGTTTCTTCCAATCAGAGACGAAAGGCACCAAATCAGTTGGATTTCAGTTTTATTACGGGAAAGATTAGCAATACAATTTTCAAAACAAAAACATCTCTTAACATAAAGAAAGAAACAAAGGCACTTCTCGACATGGTAAGTTTTCACTTTTCAGACACATAATGTCATCTACTTGTACTGCAAAGTGAATTAAAATGTCGTCTCTAATGCCAATTTTTCTCTGCAATTGCTGAATTTCAGAAGACAGGCAAGGAAAGAAACATAAAAAAGCTCACCACCTAAGAAGACGAAGTTCTACCGACGACTTCCATTTTTCCAGCTGGATCAACACCGATCGGGAGAGGAGTTGGCTTATTATTAAGAGGAAATGACACACAAGGAAATTGCTAGGAATTGGCGAACCAGTCAGTCAATTGACAAATGTGGACATCAGAAAAACAGAAGAAAAAGGTATGTCCAAAACATTTTAAACACGCAAAAGTTACCAACTTGGTCGTCCGATTCAATCGGTGAATGGGGGATAAAATATACTTTGTACATATAGGTATGGCAAATTTTGATTAATTTTGTGTGAGTAGAACATTTCTCTTGACATCACATATTTACATAAATGGTTCGAGTTCTCCTATTTTAAAATTTTTAATTATTATTTAAGATATAAATACTAAGTTATATATATATTTTAAAGGTACTGTAATAAAATTTAAATTAAATATTCCACTAAAACAATATTGTGTTTCTCAACTAGATCAGATAAGTCTTCTCCACCCCACACGTAAAGGTTGGGTTATTTGCAAGTTATAGCAATATTTTCCGCGATTGGGAAGGCCCAACCACCAATCCTATGCATAATACATCATGATGTTCCTTGTAGGCGGCTGCTGTAAAATCCATTCATATTCTAATTTTATTTTTTAAATATTTACCTTTTATCAAAAGAAAAAAATATTTTTTAAAATAAAGTGCTGCCACCTATTTTCAAAGGGCATAGGATAAAAAAGAAAGGGTTATTCGCCGTGATTCTCCTCTTGTCATAATCTTTCTATTTTATAAATGGAATCGATTTTAAAAATGAATATATATATTTCTATTTGCTTTGACAAAAATCACAGATCAAAGAAACTTGAACATTTAATTATTTATTTTTGAAAAAAAAATTTATTAATTAATTTGAATCTTTGAAGATAATTAAAATGACATATTTAATTTTCAATTTTGTGCATTTTTCTTTAGATGATTCTAAGATAGTCTATTCAAATCTGATTAGGAATAAAAGTATGTATATGTTACTTGGCTTTTAAAAGAAAATAAATAAAATAAAACTCAACTGTGGAGGCGGGACCTGTTGGTGGCAATGGTAAAAAAAACATGAGTGGCAAATAATGCAGGCTCGCTGCCCCTAAAGTCTGGAACTGTCCACGTAAACTCACAAGGACCTTAAAGACCAACAACCTACCCTAAGTTGACTTTTCGACTAACTGGATCGGACGGAAACGTTAGTAGAATTATTATTATTATTGGTGGGTTTGGCCGTGATATTGTTATTTTGAATTATAAGGCGATTACCGGAGACGGATCGAATTTTGAATCAGCTGCTGTAATGGAGAGTTTGAGTGATAACATTGTTGTGTCTCCTATTTTTTATTTTTTTTCGGAAGGTTTTGTTGTGTCTCCTATTCTGGATGACTTGTTAGGCAAATTGGATTCACTTTTTGATGGTGCTGGTAACCGGTCTTCGCGAGCTAAACAGACGAGACAGCTTCGGCGGGTAATTGAAGAAATCTTAGCCGAAGTTCTGATAGTGGAACGGGAAAGTAAGACGGGAATTACAACCCTTCTGTTTCTAGCAGATGTTCAAAAAGCAGCTTACGTTGCAGATGATATGCTGGATGGTGTTTCCAAGAACGAGGTAAGCATGATGATGAACGTCAGCATGTCAGATCCACTCCATTCTGTGCTGTATCTGATCCTCCAAGATTTTCTACGTATCGAAAACATCTACAAGATTCATGATAAAGATATGACTAGCTCCGCCCCGGTGATTAGGGAGCATTTCCATTGCCGTTCATCTCCTAATCTTTCGGCGGTTGATGAACTCTTGCAATCAAAGAAGGTTTTCGGAAGGGATAAAGACAAGAAAAAGATGTTGGGTTTGTTGATCCAAGACAATAACCAGATGCAGCTTTCCGTCATTTCCATCTTGGGTGTGGATGGAATTGGAAAGACCACTCTGGCTCGTATGCTTTACGATGATGAGAAAGTATTGAAGCATTTCGATCTCAGGGTTTGGGTGTCCTTCGATGCTCAAGATTTTGATGAAGTGAAGATTGCAAAAGGGATCATAGAATCTGTGACGGGGTTTCCTCTCGAGCCAGAAGAGATGGGTGAACTATCTGATCTTGTCATAGCTGCCTTGGGGTCAAAAAGATCCTTAATTGTGCTAGATGACATCAAAATTGGAGATAACAAGGATATTGAGGGTTGCCTTGAAATACTGAAAAGTCTTTCCGCTGCATCTGCTTTGGGATCCAAAGTTATAGTAACAACTCCCACCCTCCATGTTGAAGATGATCATATAGCAGCCAATGTTGAGCACTACGAACTGAAAAAATTATCCTATGTCAATAGCTGGTATATGTTCAACTATCTAGCATCTGATTCCTCAAATGCTATAAGCAATCCAAAAATGTCCATGGTTATCCGAATTCTACAAAGCTGCAGAGGCCTCCCTCTTCTGCTGGATCTTATAGGACGGCTTCTGAGAATAGAGAAAGAGAAAAGGGACTTGGCTTCTTTTGAAAAATTCCTTTATTTTGGTCTTCTCATTCCTCGAAAGGCATCAGTAAGTTGTGAAATCGGTAATCCTCTTGTGCTGAGCTATACTCACCTACCTTCGCATTTGAAGAAATGTTTTGCGTATTGTTCGATTTTCACCAAGGGCCATGCACTGAGCAAAGAGAAGCTGATTCACATGTGGATTGCTGAAGGTCTCATTCAGTCATTTGATGGAAAGAGAACGTTGGAGGATATTGGCAACGATTATTTTCGGGAACTTGTGAGCAGGTCATTCTTCACCGAATTAAGCAGCAACGATTCTGGTGACATAATAGAGTGCCGTATGCATGGCATAATCCACTATTTTGCACAAGTTGTTGCGGGGTCAATGATGGAGAAAGAGGCTGGAGTTGAATGTAGGCAATCCAGAGATATGCGTCAGGTGTCTTTGGCTTTTAGTTGTGGATTATCAACCATCCCGAGAGCACTGGATATTCCAAAATACGTGCGGACTTTGCTTTTATTATCTGGTAATTTCTCAGGCACCCTAGATCATTCATTTTTCAGATTTAAGGGTTTGCGAGTTCTAGATTTAAGTTGTAGTGGCATTGGGAAGTTATCAAGTCACATTCGAAATTTACAACATTTAAGATATCTTGATCTCTCTCATACATTCATTAAAAAACTTCCCAGCTCCATAGCCAGCCTCACACACTTGCAAACTTTGAAGCTATTTGGCTGCTATCGTCTTGAGGTGTTACCCAAAAGAATTCATAACTTGACCAACCTCAGGCATCTGGATATTGTGTTGTGCCATTCATTATCTCATATGCCATCTGGAATTGGGCTACTAACTTCTCTTCAATCAATGCCGGTATTTGTTCTGGGCAAGAATCGCGGTTGTGCCCACCTAGGAGAGCTGCGTAGGCTAAACCTTACAGGCAAATTAGAGATTAAAAATCTTCAAAATGAGAATAGGCTCGAAGAAGCACACCAGGCGAAGCTGTACCACAAAGAAAAACTTCACCATTTGGGATTATCATGGGGCCATGATAATGTTGACCAATGTTCCAAAATATCGAGTGCCCTGCTGTTGGAAAACCTATGCCCGCACCCAAAACTTAAAGTTCTGGATATAACAGGGAATGGAGATATCAAATTTCCTTCATGGATGAAAGATTCGACCATCCGCAATCTGGTTAAACTTTCCATGAGGAATTGCAGCTGTGAGGAACTTCCACCACTGGGGCAGCTACCCTACCTTAAGGAGCTATGTGTCAAAGGGATGCCGGAATTAAAATCCATTGGCCAAGAATTCTATGGCAAGGAGTCTGTTAATGGATTCCCTTCACTTGAAAAATTCGAACTTTCCGATATGCTCAATTTGAAGGAATGGTTGGAGACCCATATGGAGGCATCAACTAGTAGCTCAACCACAAAACAAGTTTTTCCCTGCCTTAACACGCTCACAGTGGAAGGTTGCCCCCAACTCCAACGCATCCCCATTCTTCCGGTTCTCAAGGACTTAGTTATGTGGAACAGCAATGAGAAGCTACCTTGCTCCCTGGCCCACTTAACATCACTTTCATCCCTTGTTATCAATGAATTCACAGAAGGGTGTTCTTTTTACAACCAAGGAAACTTCAATTCTGTCAAGAAACTTATGATATACAACTCTCGTATTCTGGATAATAAGTTGGACGATGATGGTATGCGGGAATTTACTTCTCTTGAACATTTGGGTATTCTGCGTTGTTCTGAATTGATGTATTTGCCAATGGGCTTCAGATATCTCACTTCCCTTCAAAAGTTGGATATTGTAGAGTGCTCGGATTTGAAATTTATTCCAGAGATTATGGAGTCCCTTACATCACTTCGAGAGTTGATCATCGATGATTGTCCTGGGCTGGAATCATTGCCGACAGATCTGCCTAAACTCACCAGACTTCAAAAGTTGATTATTAAAAGATGCCAGAAATTGTCAAAGCTGCCCCAAGGACTGGAAGTCACATATGAGCTCCAATTTTTGTTGATTACTGGATGTCCTCAATTGGAACGAAGACTGCAAAAGGAAACAGGTGAGGACTGGCCCATGATAGCTCATATCCGGTGTATAATAATCGGCCACCATTTATAAGAGGTACAAGGGATCGATGCTAAAAGAATATAGAAGACAACCCTCAGTGAGGTAGGATGCTGAAGCAGAAGAATGTTTTAATGCAAGTTCAAAATCTTTGGCAGCGCACATGTAAGTTTGAATTTCTCTCCCATTTATGGATTCTAATTAGAATGCCTATTCATTTATATCAAGTTTTTATTTGCTTTTTATCGTACTTAAGTATGTGACTGTGGGTGTGAGTATGTGCACATGCTTGCATGTGGTATGAGCATCTACATGACCACAAGATACACAACAAGGCATTATCTAACTTCAAGCTTGGAGATGGCTACATGGACGATTAAATTCATTTGCCATTGAATTTTACTTAGGCCATTTCATGTGTTACTAAGACACTGGTCATTGTTTTTTGTTCTCAGAACATCCTGTTGACATAGCAATTGCTTGAATAGGAATTTTCGTCGGCAACTACTTGAGTGTAAGCAAGCTTCTCTGCAATTCCCTCTATTATTGTTATTTTATCTTTCAAATTTAGTTTTTTGAATTTTTCTTAGCTTTTGGTTTGGTATTAATTCGAATTTCAAATAGATGCAAGCACATTGCCTGCAAAGCTCCAGAGATCTCAATACCATCAGAGGACTGGACGATTGTTCCCAAGCTCAAGAAACTCAAGTAATATGTCACGTCGTGCTAGACTGTATCAGGATGCATATTGTCACTATGTAATCAAAGCCCCAGTGAGGAGAGCGATGACATATATAGATAACCTAGGACAAAGGTTCTATGGATGTGAAAGCTATCTTAAGGTTAGTGGTGGATTCTGATATATTCGGGGTTTCCAACAAGAAAGGCTTTGAGAAAAAAACATAACATACATTAATAGAGCAACTTAGTGTGGCAAAATGTGGATAGGAATTTGGAGGTGGTACCTACTTTTGATGAGGATGTCAGCTTCGTGGAGGTGGAAACCTAAAATATTGCAAGGAACGTGAAATTTCGAAGTGTTTATTGGGTTGTCTTTATGTTTGAGTTTAACATAATGTGTTTTGGATGAGAATGTAATTTTGAACCAAGTGTATGAAAATGGATTTAGTATAGTAAGGTTTTGTTTCGAATGTAACTTCTGAACCCATTTTATATATATATATATATATATATATTTGCTAACTAGTAAAAAATGTTACACTCCTTTATTACTAACATATAACCCATTACATTCAACATCCATTCTACCAAAATAAAAGAACGCATTCAATAATGACACTGCATTCATTCCATGATATTAAATGAGCAACATTCTATTCTACATCCGTTGTCATTGAATAACAGTGTGCATACATTCGACCAACAAAATATGACATGTCTCCAAGAATCCACGTACATATGGAAATATACATTCAGTGAACTAATATATACAAGTCAAATATGCATGGTTTACACGTTTGCAGTCACAAAACAGCAACCAAAAGCCCTACTTGCTAGTCAACTAAAGCGGCATAAGCTACCCACCGAAAACCATGACACCAAGCTCTACTATCCACCAGAATTCATTTTCAGATCTTTGCCACCAACACAGCCAGCTGTATCAACACTGTTTTGTCAAACATTGTCATTGGAATAGAATGAGAATGGAGGTGAGAATGAAGGTGAGAATGAGAATAATAATTCTCATTCCACCGTTTAGTTGTAAATATGAAATGCGTAAAAATGGAATCTCATTCTCATTCCTATGTTTGGTAAGAAAGTTAGAATAGAATGAATTTATATTGTTTCTTTAAATTACATTTTATTATTAATAAAAAAAATTAACTAAAAAAATTAATTTGCAAAAATAAAAGGAAAAGAGATAATAGAGAGAAAAATAAACGAGATAGAGAGAGGGGGAATAAACAAGCATATAGATACATATTATATATATATATATATATATATATATATATTATATTTTATATAATGTGTGTATGCGTGAATTATCTCTTTAAATTATTTTATTATTTTATTAATTCTTAGTGGGAATGGAATGGTCATTCCACCTCTCAAGAAGTGGAATGAGCATTTCACTTTTTTGATAGAATGGACATTCCCTAGAAATGACCATTCCACTTTTAATGTGACACACCAAACAAGAGAATGGAAACACATGTATAAGGAATGGCCATTTCACTTTTAATGTGACACACCAAATAAAAAAATGGAAACGAATGCAATCCATTCTACCTTCATTTAATTTCATTCACTCACACCTAACATAGTCTAATAGTTTCGAACCCCTTACCGTTGGTTTACAACTCAAGACATAATCCAATACGTTAATTACAAGGGTGAACCAGTAACAATTTCCAATGTAATGTACATCAAAGTCAACATAAACGTAGTCAACATTCAGCATAGTCAACGTGAGTTTTGTCAAATTGACAGCATACTAAGGTCAAATTGACATGCATTTGCCCACATAAAAAATGAATATAACCCATTACCAACCTAGAAAACTATGCATGTATCAATACTTCAAAATTTGTTAAGTGTGTGTTTTCAATGATAAAATCACTAATAGGAGGATGAATTCTTGTAGGATATGATTATTTTGAGGGTGTCGAAGACCGTTATATAAATGTTAATTATTCTGAAATTAGTCCTAATTTCATTTAATGGAAAGATGAATTTTGTATTTTTCTACTACTAAATTATAACGAAAATTAAACTAAAATTAAAAGTAAATTAAATGGTGAGAGTTTTCCATTGTTCTGAGCGAAGATGAGTTGTATAAATCTTCTTGATGAGATCATTGTGTGCTTGTAGCCGCATGACTCATAAAATACACATGATGATAATTTTTCCAAATTTATGATAATTGGCCATGATTATAGTAGTGAAATCAATCCCCTAAGTTCATTTCTCCTCGAAAACTCTCACCATTTAATTTACTTTTAATTTCAGTTTAATTTTCGTTATATTTAATTTCAGTTTAATTTTCGTTATAATTTAGTAGCAGAAAAATACAAGTAAATTAAATGGAAAGATAAATTTTGTATTTTTCTACCACTAAATTATAACGAAAACTAAATTGAAATTAAAATTAAATTAAATGGTGAGAGTTTTCCGGGAGAAATGAACTTAGGGGATTGATTTCACCACTATAATCATGGCCAATTATCATAAATTTGGAAAAATTATCATCATGTGTATTTTATAAGTCATGTGGCTACAAGCACACAATGATCTCATCAAGAAGATTTACACAACTCATCTTCGCTCAGAACGAATTGTTTACCTAACATTCTAATCTACCCATCTTCCCTAATCATGAATTATCAAAATACTTGTTTGTGCAAGCAATTAAAGCTATTGCATAATTATCATCCAAATAATCACATAAAATAAGAATGATTTGAATTCAATTAAAACAAAATAAATTTCTAAGACAAGAAAATAATTTCATTAAAACTGATTTTAAACTTTAAAATTCAATAACATTGGTCCAACTAATCCAATTCTCACAATTATACAACCAATACACATTTATATAAAAATCCCCAAAAATATAAACAATTAAACCATGTTACTTGGCTAAGGTTACATCAATTTCCTAAGAGATGATTTAGCTACTCATAGAGAAGGTAAAAAACTTCAATGGTGTAATGAACGCCATCTCCATGTATTACAAATCTGATCGGAATCACCTTCTTCAAGCTTCAACAATAGAGAATTGCTTCAAGCCACCAATCTTTCTCTTATATGTCCTCCACTTTCAATAAACATTAATTATGACCTATATTAGCCAAAGATATGCCATAAACTTGTGCTCCACCTTTTGGAGGAAGTCTGGCCCAATTAGGATTAGAAGAAAGCAATAAATCGGTAATCCCGCACAAAATCGGAGAGGTATCAAGTGTCGGGCACTCGATCCCTCCTCTATGAGATCGATTGCCCAAGCTTTCAAATATAATAATTTTTTATTTCTTTCGGGCGTTATCAATCGCCCAGACCTTAAATTGTGACTTTTGGTTCATTTAAGCTCGAACTTGGTCCCAAACAAGTCAGTACTTTCCTCAATCCTTGGAAACATCATTAAGATCCCGAAAAATCTTGAATTGATCGATTTTGAAGGCAAACACCTGAAAGTACTAGAAACCAAGAAAATTGTACAAGTATGACTATATAAACACTACTAAAGAACTATTATATACAACTTTAAGGGCTTGAATGTACAACATTCAGCGCTCATCACTTTACCTCACATAATTGCCCAACATTTCCAATTGATGCTCACCTATTACACCAAATAACATATAATCAAAACCTTGAAAATACTTAATACATTAATACTTTGTTATAGAAAATTACTTATGCTTTTGCTTTTGTTGCCCACTAAAATTGCTAGCCCTACCATCCTTGCTACCCCTTCCACCACCTTTTCCAAATATAGCAAGACCACTGCAATAAACCCAACCATTAGGTCTGTGAGATGTATATTTTGTAATTGGCTAATTTTAATATCAAAACAATCCAATCGAGTTGTATTTTTAAGTTTAAAATTCAAGATCGAGATCGGTTGTGAAATTGAAGAGTTATTCAAGTTCAATAGCTTGAAGCCTGCAAAAAGGTAAGAACAACACTCTAGGAAATTGAGTTAGAAAGATAGGATACTTGCATACATGAGTTGTTTTTCAAAATTGTAAAATTTTAAAGTGTTAAACCTTTAGTTCAAGATTGGCCAACTTGAACCAGTTCCATATAGCTGAACCGATTCAAGATTCATTACTTCGAATTTTTCAAACACTAGCCAACTTAAATCGGTTCAAGGTCTTCAGATAGTTTTGGTAAACTTTGTTTCCTGATCTGTTTTAACTTCCTATTTAGTAAAGACTTCTTACCAAAAACCTATGCACGAATTTAACTTCTTTTCCAAGTATATCTAAGTTTTTAAAAGTCTATATAAACATGTTTTCTCACCTATGTTTGTGTGGCCTTTTGCATTAAATTTCTGATTTTCATTAAAAGTCTTTTGTAAGATATTTTTAAGAGCACACACTATATACACACGAGTGATTTTAGGGTGTTGTTCAAATCCTAATCGTGTTCAAGTCTATTGAATATTGCATCTACAACGATTAGAGAAACCAGATCTACTTCTTCTACATCAAATTCAGATTCAGATAAGAAGAATTTCAGATCACGCTTTGAAGGGATCAAGACACTTGCAGTGTGTTGTTGATTTACCAGCAATCCTTCTACAAGGTTCGATGCATAAGTTTGAAGTCCTGAGCTATTGGACGGGAAGTCGTAAGATCAGAGGCATTCAACAAATTGGGTCTTGGTAGAGCGAAGGAGTTTCTGTTCGAGTCAAAATTCGGTGTACTTTACTTCATACATAGTGAATCTTTTTATGCTTAGGATAGCGCACAAAACCTCGAGATTTTTTAATTGATCTCGCTAAAATCCGGTGTCACTCTAAACTTTACTTTCTTTTATTTTGCATGTGATTGTTTAATTAATCGATAATATTATAATAGTCAATTCAATAGAGATCTACTTGATTGAATCATCTCTAAATAAAAATTCAAACTTTTCACAATATCTTTTGTTGCACAACTCACAAAGTCCAACAGTAGGCATCCTTAATAGAATTCTGCCTCCTCTGTACTCTTCCAAATATGGGAGCCCTACTTGTTATAGTTGTTTTGCAAGTTCTTCTTGTGACCTAATGTTCCACATTTTGGACAACTTAGATGTGACTTTTCCCCGCTAGTCATTTAAGAGGTTCTAGGCTCATTCCCTTTTCTTTGCTAGCTTTCTTTCGTCTGTCAGGTGGGTTTCTATGTATACCTAGTAGTGTGGGATCAATATATGATGACCTTATGGGCGGGTGTGCCGTGGGCGGGTGCGAGAGACACTGTCAGACTACCACACTAGCGAGTTACGGGTGCACAGTCCCACATTGCCTAGGTAGGGAAAGGTGAAATGCTTATATGTAAGTGTATCATCTCCAATTAGTATAAGGCCTTTAGGGGTGAAGCCCAAGATCAAAACTGTGCAGGCTCAGGCCCAAAGCGGACAATATCATACCATGTGGTGGAGTGGGTCGTTACAAATGGTATCAGAGTCTAACTTAGC